GCAGGTATGCTAACCACACTGCCTATATACAGATGAGCACTAGAGGGAACCTTAACTAATGCCTAAATGCAATTATCCAGAATTCAATAAATATGTAAATTATTCGCCAAAAATGATGTTAGATCAATTTTACAATAATACAACAAACTGCCTAATCTCTGAAAATAATCATTCGTTTCACTTTAAGGGCTTGTGTCAAAGGGCCAATGCAGCTTGCTTTCAGGTACATTCCACTTGTCTTTGAGATGCTTCTAAGATCATTCAGAATTCATCAACAGGTGCATCTGACCTGCAGTTGATATCATCTGACTTGCATTTGACTTGCTTCTAAGCTGCTTCAACCTGTTTCAAGCTGCTTTTGAATTCCCATTAACTTGTATAGGGAGAGAAACAGTTTTGGTGTGAGCAAAAGCCCGGAGCAGTTACCAGGTGACACTCCGCCGTGACGTCACCACGCGCGTGCATGATGACGTCATTGCGCTTGCGCTTCTATCTTATTGATACCCGCCGGCGGCCATCTTGTTGATGGACGCTGGCAGAGAGCGGAGAGGACAGTCATCTGGCGGGATAAGGTATGCCGCCGGGTTCCCTCCTTTCTCCCGAAACTGTCAGGCTCTTGGTCCATGACCGAGTGCCCGACTTTTCAGGGGGGGTGACACCAAAATAACTATCAGTCATATTGGTGTCACCCCTCCAATGGGTTCACCTGGGTGCGGGCCGCACCCCCCTTGTGACGCCACTGCATGGGAGGATTGCATTTAGGACCAAATGTTGACCTTGTATATTTTTTTAGATATAATATTAAATACTCTTATAGACTGGCGTCATAAATGGCTTTTTGTTAAGACACTTAATTTTTCATAGAAGAAATTATAGGGAATTTCAATGATTAAAAACAATTCTACTAATGTCTATGGCATTGGCATTTAACTTCAAAATCGTGATACTTTTTTTATATAAAAGGGTAATATTCACATTACTACACTTACAAGTGTGTTCACTTTGTCATTTTGTTAAATCAGATTTTGTATAGAAGTAATAATAAGTAGTGCATTCAAATATTTATACTTTTAAAAACAGTTTGATCATTCGGCATAGGGGAAAAATATACTTCACTTAGGTATTTATCTAAGAAAGCAAAGAATAAAATAGGTCAGCTGGTTATGCAAAAATTTGCGTTTTTTTTATTTTGCCAAAATTTTGGAGACAATCGCAGGATTTTTGGCCAAATTTCACCGTTTAGGTAAAATGCATCGAAGTCAATGGCATGGTGAAATGAAGATGGTTTTTGGTGGTGTATAAGGGTGAAAAGGTCTTTGCATAATTCCTAAGGGTTGTGAAAGCTCCTTTTAGCTATTCTGCACCTGTTCCTATGCCAAAAATGGCCCCACATTAGCCTAATTATTTTACTTTAAAGGAGAACTATGAGGTGAGTGATTTTCACTCAACCTCATAGTTCAAGCCGACCTGTGACAATGAAACTGTCACAGGTCGGCTCTATAGATCGGTAGAGGGGGGGCGAACGCGAACCGTCGCATGCTCACTTCTCGATCATCTCCCTGCAGAGAGCGGTGACTGTCAGTCACGGCTCCACGCAGAGATTCCCCTCCTCCCCTCTCCGATCCTCCAGCACTGAGTGGAGAAACGGACGGGGAGGGGGCAGGCACAGCTGGATCTGCCTCTAGATAGGCAGAGCCAGCTGTCACTCATGCAGCTGGGTGGATCTCGACAGTATTGTCAGGATCCATCCCGGCTGTGGCGCTCTGAGTATACAGTGAGCAATAGCTCGTTATATACTGAGCTTTGGGTCATGGGAGGACGCTAGTATATGTCCTCCCGTGACTCTAAAGAGAACTATGGGATAAAAAGGTAACACAAATACATAGAACACTAAGTGAAATAAACTAAACAACCCTAAATATACCCCCAAAAAACACACCTTCTAATTAAGTGGTAAAGTTATTTTCTTTCAAGCTAATTTCAAATAAGCAGCTCAATGAGCGAAACTCAAAATATAGCTAGAGCAGCTGGTCAAAGCTGTGCACCTTCCTGGCACTTCACATGGGAGGATGTATTTGCAGGCACTTGGTGTCTGATGGGGCCATGCCAGCGTAGACAATGCAAATGGGGTGGCCTTTCTGTGCTTAATGCAACCCTTATCATGGGTAATCAAAGGGAATTTGGGGGGGGAAGGGTGCTACCTTGCCTAGAGCCCCATTCTGTGCTAATTTGTCTCCGTTACTAGGAGTTAAAAGATATGGGGCATCTTAATTTGATAAAACTGTGAACTGATCATGGTCATTGCTAATTGCTTTTTCATTTTGAAGAAAGGTATGTATGTTGGAATGAATAAGTCATAAAACAAAGCTCCAAGGAGCTACTGTATTTAAAAGACAACAGAGATTTTTACAAAACACAAAGAGGGCATTATGGGTGATAGACATCATCAGCTGGAATTCACCTTATTCTGCTTATGGTAACAATTACAGTAACAACTGGAGAAGAACATATATAGCAGTGATGCCAGTGTGCTTGCTTAAGAGCACAGGTATGGTTCACAACCATCCAAGCTTATCATTGGTCAGGTTTACATCTAAAGTGGACTTGAACTACTATGTTATGTGGAACATACAGAAATGTCCCTGACAAATCTTTTTTCACTGGAATCCCTCTTGAATAACAGCAGTGTAATTCTTGATATCTGAGGGTGTCTAGGCCCTCTTGACCTTGTGGCCATATATGCAGTATGAGATCTAAGGCACTGACTGGTAATCTTAGAAGATTTTGAGTTGGCTTTGGAGACAACACTACTGTGCTGCCTAATTTCTCCTTGCTAAAGGCTTTGGCATGGGGAAGCAAAGCTCTACCTCTACCAAGATGGCCACCTGCATAAATACACACAGTGTGAGACAAGGCACGTAAAAGTAAATCACTAATGGGGAAAGATCAGCTGCAGTAAGAGCACGGTCCGTACTATTGACTACTCCTTTGTCATCTGCCTGCCGTTTTCTGGGGGTAACTTTGATTCCCCTTTAAACAGGAATGTGTGACAATTACCACTTGAAGATCACATAGAGCTTCCATAAAAAACTGCCCTATGACACAGTTGTTATGAAATCTTTCTTCATGACCATATTGTAATTGTCTCAGTTGCCTTTTACCAAATACAAGACCATAAAGTAGATATCCCATAGAAGCCATTTTCAAGGTTTGGCTTATGGGATCTCTACTTTTTACAAGGGAAATTGTAGGTGAAATAATAATTAAACTGGAAAACAAGCAAAAACTAATGTATAATCTTCATATTACATAAACCAAAAATCAAAGATAATTTTGTTTGAAATGAAACCTTTTTACACTCCTGTTTTTAATATAGTGAGAGATTAAAAACATTGTAAAACTGTAAATTGTTCTCACCTATTTAAAAGTCTAAGAAGGAATATCACATGCCACTATTAATTTGGTCTTGGGCTTCTATGAGTTGTTTAAAGTGATTCTCTTTTAATAAACTCAATTGTATATTCCAAATGCCACAGATAAACGTTGAAAAAAAAAATGAGATGGGCATCTTGGTCAATATAAAATAAAAACGCATAATGCAAACTACAGTCTACATCTGAATTGCCATGCTAGGCCAAGCTTATTGTATTGCATACAAACTGCATTCTAAGTACTAATGGTTCATATTGTAAACATCAAGCATACAGAGTTTAAATTCAAGGCCACAACTTTTTTTTTTATGTCTTAAAGTTTCAACATGTCCCTTCTGTGTTTCTTTGGTTGGCCGAGCTCAACTCGTAGTGTATAAATGCATAACTTATATAATTATATAAAAATGAAAAATACCATTGACTTGTATACTTCAACCTGACGAACGCACAGCGTTCGCGACTCAAATAAAACTGGCGCCTGCTTATAAAAAATAACAACAACAAAAGTTCAGATTGTAGCAACGAGGGAACTTACTTAATATTTCAATCGTCAAACTCCCTCAAACAGAGATTAAAATAAACATGTGTACAAAATCCACCCTGAGAGCTTTGGCAATAAAATTGGAGAAGTTCGATCGGATTCCACCAACGAGCATTGCTTCCAATATCAGTGCCATATTAAATTCTCTTGTTGCCATGGGCAACGCATTGAAAACAAAAATGTTACACTTAGCAATGACTAGATGTGAACTGTGATAATTGTATTTTTCAACTGTGCTAAAATTTTAACTTAATTCTGCACTTGTTATGTGTAAAAATGGACCTGGCCTTATAAAAAAAAGACAAAAATGAAAAGAATTCTGATTGTTTCCACTTCTCTTAAGAAAGCCATTGCATCTCTGAAAAAAGTTGGGTGTCGTGTGTTGTACATTACAAATGAGGTCCTGATTTTTCTTTTTAAATATCAGACAATTCCAGTTTTATATCATTAAAAGTAACTACTCTAATCTATACCATTTCAACCATGTCATTTTGTTCTCGGTAATACTGATGGCGGTATTAATACTGCTGTAACATTTCTCAAAGAAGTCTCAAAAAACATACGTCCCTGTATTGTCAAGCCCCTCCCTCTTTTCAATGGTTTTCCGTGAATGAGACAATTCTTTTCAGTATTTTCCTCCCTTTCCTTCAACCTCTGTTTATAAACCTTCTTGAGCATAATTACTTCTTAGCACTTTCTTTGTTCCACCAAAATGGCTCATACTTCTCTTTCAGATACATCAAGGAATGTAGGAAGTCTTCACAGTTTGCCAAAAAGTTTTTTTTCTCAAGTGAAATTTTGTCAAATTTTTTGTCTTGACATTGTTTTACTGACACTACTTTTGTTTCAATGATCCTGATTGTGTACTTGTATTCTTAAGTACAGGTAGTTTGCACTACAGATATTTATATTATGGTAGTCCACAATTTTGTATATAGCATATAGTTTTCTTTTTTACTTTTTTTTTAACAAAAAGTTCATTAGGTAAATCCACCATAGACTTCGACTAGAAAAAGTCGAACCAAGAATACATATTAGTTAAATGCTGATGTCTCCTATGTTGCATCTTTGGCATTTGAACTTCGTTAGTAAAATTTTGCGTCCTTAACCTCTACAAAAAGTTTTGCGTTTGTGGCCTATCTGCCCTTATTTTTGTGCACCTGTTATAAAAGGCACGGATAACTCGTCATGATCTCCTGGTAGAGTCGCTGGCGAATTATAATCCACAGTAAAGTCTTTTTCTTGAGCGCTAGTAGTAACTTCCAAGATGAGATGACATGTGACTTGCCGGGAGTCGGCTACTGGGATAAATACTGCCGGTTGGTGAATTCCAATAAGGGTTTGGAGCTGCAAAGAAACTGGATGATGTCACAGGTAAAGCTGGAGGATGGGGAGCAACAAAGTTCATCTTCTGAGGGTGTGTGTGATAAGAGCTCATGTAGGGAAGTTCAGAAGGATACTTATACATCGTTGATTCTGGAGGATGTGGTTGAAGGGCTTGAGCAATCCCATGAAAGTCAAACTTATAAGCATAGCGCTTGCCGTGGACTTTAGTCATAATATTCTTGTCGTAGTAGTAGCGGAGTGCACGGCTGAGCTTGTCGTAGTTCATGTTAGGTTTACTCTTCCTTTCTCCCCAACGTCTTGCCACTTCGTCCGGGTCGGTCATCTTAAACTCCCCGTTCGTTCCTTCCCAAGTAATGCAGTTGGAGTTTGAACTGTCTGAGAGAAGTTCCAGGAGAAACTGCCAGAGCTGGATTTGTCCACTGCCTAGAAAAATAGTATTAGCAAAGTGATGAAAAACAATAGTTGATAATTTCAGTTTATAGTAATGTTATTTATAACTGTCCACTGTCTTCTCTCTATCAGATGGGTGAATGTTCATCTTTTGCAGCTCATGCCTTCATAAAAGTCTAATTTAAGTGTCACACCTTTTATTTTCTATATATAGTCCTGTGCCCTTGCGTACAGTATTATGATTTGTGACTGATTTTTGCTTAAAGATGCTTTAAATGCTGATTTCTGTGCTGGCAGACCTGTGTAATAGTGACACCATTTATCACCAGTGTCCTTACACAGGCTTAATGGGTATGTAACAAAAACGTGGAGGTAAGAAATAGAGGTTGCTAGTACAAGGTCCACCTGACTGCATATTTATTTATTTGACCTTAATTGGGCTTTAAAAAGTAATTACAGCTACTGCATCTTATTTTTAATCACTTCTTCACATAAGTGCTTTGGTGGCTTAAAAGAAAACTATGGGGTAAGTGTTTTTCCCCATAGTTCTCCTAAGGGTCACAGAAGGACATATACTAACCTCCTCCCGTGACCCAAAGCTACAGCTCGCGGTATACTGAGACCGCCGCAGCCAGGACGGATCCCGACAATGCTGTTGAGATCCACCCAGCTGCATGAATGACAGCGGGCTCCTCCATCTAAAGGCAGAGCCAGCTGTAACCGCCCCCTCCCCCATCCATTCATACAGTCAGCGCTGGTGGATCGAAGCAGGAAGGGGGGAATCACTGCGAGGAGCCGTGACTGACAGTCACCGCTCTCTGCAGGGAGATGATCGAGAAGTGAGCGAGCGACAGTATGTATTTGCTCACTTCCCAATCTATTGAGCCGACGTGTGACAGTTTCATTGTCACACGTCAGCTCGAACTAGACACAACAAATGTCCTTCTTATCTCCAGCTATTACTTATTGCCTTTGCTGGACTATAGAATCAAGATATTCCTCTGGCAGGGCAATAATTATTTCATGTCTAAAGGTACTCTATATGGCTAAAGGTTTGTGGACATCTGAACATCACACTTATATAAGCTTGTTGGACATGTAGTTCCAAAACCATGCGCATATAGATTTTACCCCCTTCCCCAGTTTGTGATTATAACAGCTTTCACTCTTCTGGGAAGGTCTTTCACAGGGAGCGTGTCTCCAGGAATGTGTGCCCATTCAGTCAAAATAAGTTTTATGATGTCAGGTTATAATGTTGGGTGAGAAGGCCTGGCTTGCATTCAGCATTTCAATCCATCCCAAAAGTGTTCAGTAGGGTTGGGGTGCAGGCTATTCGAGTTCCTCCAAACCAAACTCATCAAGCTATGTCTTTATGGAGCTGGCTTTGTGCATGGAGGTGCAGTCATGCTGGAATAGAATAGGGCCTTCCCTAAACAGATGCCTCAATGTTGAAAGAACAAATATGTCTAAAATGACTTTGTGTGTTGTAGCATTAACAGTACCCTTCCCTGGAAATAGCTGAACTCAATCATTCGGATGGATGTCCACATACTTATGGCCACATAGTATGTGTTATGGTCAGGTGTCCACAAACATTTCAATGTATAGTGTGTTTTTAGACCTATGGGTAGAAGGGTGCCTCTTGAAAAAAGATCTGAAAGCAAATCCATGCTTTGCCAATGTAGGGTAAAGCCACATGTTTTCATTTTTGCCTCTCCAGCAGCACATGCTTACCTTTTACTTGCCATCTTGTTGCTCCTGAGTAAAGAAAGTAAAGCGTAAGCTCAGGCTAGGGGGACTCAGGGCTTAAACAAGGTTGAGGACTCTCTCCCTGCCCCAATGTGACAGCACTGGGAAATGATCAAGCACCAGTGCTGTCACAGGAGAGGAAGAGGAGTGAGTCACATGCTCCTGTATACCAGAAATTAATGGGTATTTTTCTTGCAGTGGGGGAGTGAATTTGGGGGGGTTGTGGGGGGTTAAAGTAAACCTGATGCTTTGCCCTGCATTAGCACATCACAGGTTTGTTTTGAGAAACCCATATACCTACATGAATGGTCAAATTTGAAATCTCCTAGTTTAGTCTCTAGTTGTGCCCATCCACACAATAAATATCTGATCCGGCCAAAAAAACAGATCAGGCAACTTTCATCCCACGTTATAGCTTAAGTTTCAGTCTGAAACATTTTGATTTACACCCAGCCTTCTTAGGATCAGATAGCACATCAGTGTCCACTGGCAGAGAAAGAGCCATGCTGGGCTGGATCAACACCTTCCTACTACGAGTTCAAGCTACCAATGGGTTTCAGACTTTAGGCAGATTTGACTGGTGACTAAAGAGAAGCAACTCCAGTTCTTTGTAAGAAGACATGTGGGATTGATTTACTAAAAACAAACAGACAGCTAACTTTGTAAGGGAATTTGCACTTTGCAGGGGAAGCTTCCTCTTAGTTTAGTGAATGAGGTGACGCTCCACTGACTTCCATCATCCAATCATGTGCTAGTAAAAATATATATACCGTGTTTCCCCGAAAATAAGACACTGTCTGATATTTTTTTTGGCTCAAAAAAACACACTAGGTCTCATTTTCGGGGTAGGTCTTATTTAATTTTTTTTTTTATGTACAACAATCCACACTTATTCTTGTAGAAAAGTCTACATGTATTCATGTACAAAAATATGGTGATCAGGGCAATCAGGGGTGCCGTACCCTTCCAAGAGCAATTTGCTAACCACTCACTGGCCACAATGAGCGAAGCGCACTTTCACTATCGATTCCTCACAGGCGGAGGAGTGCATTTGGTATCACTCCATCTGTGAGAGGAGGCGGCGCTATAGAGGAGGCATCGGCTTATGCGGCTCTGCCCCCTCCGGTGCCGCCTCGCTTCCTCTAGCGCTGGCTTCGGTGGCACCGCCGATTCTCTCCCGTGGCTCTTCAAGTTCCCCCTTATGCCACCACCGGCCCTGGGAATAGTCACAACTAGGTCTTATTTTCGGGGAGGGTATATACCCCAAAAATAAGACCTACCCCAAAAATAAGACCTAGATTACTGTTTTTTTTTCTTGCGTGATTGGCTATCCTTTGCAAAGTGAAATTTCACCACATTCATCAAGGTAAGGGAAACATCCCCTGCAAAGTGCAAATTCCCTTCCACAGTGAACGGCCTATTTGCCTTTAGTAAATCAGCCATGTTATGTAAGGTCTGTTGGAAGCTACAGTGAGACTAATTATGGAAAATAACACATACTGTAGTGTGATCCCACCATCTTATATTCTTACGCACCTAAATATGGATCCTAAAATCAGTGTGGCTGATTAACAAAGGCTGATCGAAAAAGTTACAAATCAGTTTTTGTGCCACCTGGCCTTTGTTCACTTGGATTTTGCATTGCCACACAAGTCTATGGGAATGCAAAATCACATGAAGCAGGTAAAATGCAGATCAGAAGGAGGTCAACTGGAGCTCAAATGCTCCTGTCTATAAATTATGATCTCAGAAGCATCTAAAACAGATGTTAAACTGACACCATGGACATAAGCATTGACACAGGCCTTAATTCTGTCAAATCAAACCATAAATCTACCGTATATGCTATCTATAGGCAACAGCTGCACTTCTGCTCCAGTTTTCCGCAAATGAAGCCCAATGTTTTCTGTGCAGTGCAGAGCATTAATAGCCATCTCCCGACTGCTAATCTCAATTAATTGTGCACAGATGTCAGATGGTTTCATTTTATTGAATACCAATTGTTTTTCTCATTGTCATACCAGGTTAACAGTCCATCTGAACCCCATTAGCATTTGCTGTGTTTCAGCACATTCAATATATTCGTCCCTTTCCAAGAGCATTCCACAAAACTGCTTTTAATAAAAGTCTTGGGCTGCGGATATTGTTATTTATCCGTAGAAGAGAAAAAGGGAAAGATCCATTCAGCGGTGGTAGCCTGGAGGCTGCAGATGTGAAGGGCAGGTGAGGTCATGGGAGTCAATGAGCCACAGCAAATATTGAGAGTGGCCAACAGGTGAATTGTTACATGAAACTTACTGTAAGGTGTCACTATAAGGTCCTAAGCAAGCAGGCAAAATTATAAGTGTTTATAAACCCTAACGATGGCCTCCTTAATCGTTCCCATTTGGTCTGTTAAATATACCATTAAAAGCGTTTTGTTATAGCGGTTCAATAAATGCATAATAATAACTGTCTAAATTCAGAGCTGTCTTGTGTTCTGTTCCTACGTGAAGCACTATAATCAGCTTTATGAAGCTCACTTCCTTAAAGGAGAACTATGAGGTAATGTTTTCCCCCCATAGTTCTCCTAAGGGTCGCGGGAGGACATAAACTAGCATACTCCTGTGACCCAAAGCTCAGTATATCACGAGCTACAGCTCGCCGTATACTAAGACCGCCGCAGCCGGGACGGAACCCGACATTACTGTTGAGATCCACCCAGCTGCTTGAGTGACAGCTGCCTCTGCCTATCTATTTGACCTTAATTGGGCTTTAAAAAGTAATTCCAGCTACCCCCATCTTATTTTTAATCACTTCTTCACATAATTGCTTTGGTGGCTTAAAAAAGAACTATGGGGTAAGTGGTTTCCTCCATAGTTCTCCTAAGGGTCACAGGAGGACATATACTAACCTCCTCACATGACCCAAAGCTCAGTATATCGCAAGCTACAGCTCACGGTATACTGAGACCGCCGCAGCCGGCACGGATCCCGACAATGATGTCGAGATCCATCCAGCTGCGTGATTGACAGCGGGCTCTGCCTATCTAAAGGCAGAGCCAGCTGTACCAGCCCCCTCCCCCGTCCATTCCTGCACTCAGCGCTGGAGGATCGGAGCGGGGAGGGGGGGGAATCCCTGCTGGGAGCCGTGAGTGACAGTCACGGCTTTCTGCTGGGACAGGATCGAGAAGTGAGCGAGTGACGGTATGTGCTCGCTCACCTCCCGATCTATTGAGCTGATGTGTGACAGTTTAATTGTCACACGTCGGCTAGAACTATGAGGTGGAGTGAAAATCAGTCACCTCATAGTTCTCCTTTAACTTCTTTGAGGATATGAGGAGAGGGGGAGGTAATCTGTAATTTAGAAAAAGACAACTAGGCAGGGCTGATACCATTGCTTGTTACATAGTTACATAGTATTTGAGGTTGAATAAAGAGACAGATCCATCGAGTTCAACCTTTATCTCAGTCCAGAAGAAGGCACTGTGTTGTCAGCTCACAACAGGAAATCAGGAGCTGAGCACATTTCTAGCAGATCAACAACTATCTTTCTTTATTTATGGGGTTCGGTAAGGGAAATAAGGAAATGTGCATGTATTACAGAGATGTACAGAATATATTATTATTCATTTTATTATATTTGTTCTTATTATTATGTTTTATATTATTATCATTTTGGTAATTATTATTTTATTTTGCCCTACGTCTTAGCCTGTAAATTTTTGTAACTGCTCTGTAAATGTAAATAAATTTATAGAGCATCAACTGCAGCAAGCATTTGTAACTTTGCAGTGGATCTGTGTTTGCTCATGCAACTTTTCTTCTCTATCAAACATAGTTCCTCATCTTACTCTCTTCTGCCTGTAACTGGTGTTTTGATAGAATTTTGTAAATTATCCACGGTACATTGATTTCCTTTTTTTTTTTTTTATAAATTGCAGTTTTGCTAAAGTTTTCATATCTTATATATTTTATCCTGACAAGCAAAATTAGTTGCAGGCAGAGTCTGTTGATGTTTTGTCTCCTTACCTGGATTTGCAAGGCGACTGCTTGTTGGGCCAAGAATCTGATAAGGATCTAAAAGAAGAAATAAAAGAAATCAGACATATTTCATCCAGCGTGTTCACTCAGTTCATGTTCATTTCCCTGTACTGCAGTGTCACAATTCTGGTTAACAAAAGATGTTGAAAAATATTTTGTAGCCCATAAGTCTTATTTTTCTGATTGACATACCTGGGATCCCAAAAGAGATGGGCCCTGCCTAAAACAAGAGCAAACTCATAAAAAGCATATCTTGATGGATGTGGGTGGGGACTGGTGGAACAAGTGGCTGGGCATATACACCGATCAGCCATAACATTATGATCACTGAGAGGTGGAGTGAATAACATTGATTATCTGGTTACAATGGCACCTGGAAGTGGGTGAGATATATTAGGCAGCAAGTGAACAATTTATCCCTGAAGTTGATGTGTTGGAAGCAGAAAAAAAATTGATAAGTGTAAGGGTTTGAGTGACTTTGACAAGGGACAAATTAGTACCGCTAGATGAGTGGGGGTCAGAGCAACTCCAAAACTGCAGCTCTTGTGGGATGTTCCTAGTCTGTAGTGGTCAAGAGTTTGAAGTGTTGACTTGGCCTCCAAATTTTCAAGATCTCAATCCAATCGATCATCTGTGGGATGTGCTGGAAAAACAAGTCTGATCCATGGAGGCAACTTACAGAACTTACAGAACTTAAAGGATCTTCTACTGATGGCTTGGTACCAGGTACCACAGCATACCTTCAGAAGTCTAGTGGAGTCAATACCTTGATGGGTCAGGACTGTTTTGATAGCAAAAGGGGGACCTACTCAAAATTTGGCAGGTGGTCATAACATTATGGCTGACCGGTCTATGTATTCTTAAGCTGGCCATATACTTATCGAATTTCGAGCTGTGGGTGGCCCTGTTGGAACCACCAAGCAAAATAGTCAATTTTTCTTCTTGAGTTATGCTCTGTACAACGCTTTTGAAACTTTATAAAAAATATTGAAATGAAAAATAGTGAATTTTTCAATTAACTTTTGTTGAAGGAGATGGGTGGAAAATCGTTGGCTAAACGGTAACTGTATTCAGTTAGATGCAGCCACTCTTCGGTTATACAGGAGCCTTGAGTCCCACTGGATGCTAATTACAATAGCCAGCAGGGGATTTTCCCCAATCCATGTTGTTTAGTGTAAATGGGGGAATCTATTTTTTTAATCTCCTTCAGAGAGAAATCTTGAGGTGTATAAAAAGGCCACTTTCCAGACAGTTACTCCTAGCAGCCAGGCAAAGAAGTTATTAGAAGCCACTCAGGGAGGACGAGAACTGTTAGCCTGAGGGGCAAACACAGTCAACTAGCCCTCTCAATGCAAAAATTAATTTCTGTGGGCTAAAGAAAGTACACCATGCAAAGTGTGTCATCGTTCTGCAGCGATAGGTGGGCATGGTGAAAGGTAAGTGTTCCTAAAGGACTCTTGGCATTTAGTTACATAGCATCTCAGAGCTCCAAATGAAGTTGGTGCTGAATAACTTCCCTCTGCCAGACTCTGCAGAGGGGAGCAGATAGCTATATAATGCCCAGAATATGCCACTGACTACCGTTCCCTCCCTGACTGATACCTGAACGATTAAGTATCTCCACTCATGGCTACCAGTCGAACATATCATATTAGTACTGGCCCAGGGGAATAGGCCCTTATGCCTCCTAGTCCAGTCCTTCACTGAAGCCACCCAAAGATTGGTTAGTCATCGCCTGTTTACATTGTTGCCTTTAACCAGAAGGGGGTATCACATCTTTGTTTCATTTGAGTTTGCCGTTTTTGAATGCCAAAACTTTAACAGAAAATCACATTTGCCAAATGAGACCAGTTAAAATCCTGCCATGGCCACTTCACTAGTGCCTTTTATCACAGATATTTGTCAGACATAAAGCCACAGACCTCCCAAATTAAAGTGACACTAAGGTCAGTAGTCAAATCTTAACAATACATTCAAGTACCCTAACCATTAACAAAAATGTATCTTATTTGTGCATCACTCGGCTGTAGATCCTGATATCATCTCTGAAAGCCCTGTCTCTGGCCTATGAGTAGACTAAAGTGAGTCTGCAATAAATGAAAAAACTAAGAAGCAATAATCAATCATTCTTTTCAGCTGAACCCGATGGTCTGTCAAACATCAACCTTTTTTGTGATAGGAAAAAACAAAGGCATTTATCAAGTCCTAATCATTGTCTTAATTACCTAGCTGGGGTCTTGGATCTTCTGTTTTTGGCACTACGGTGGGCGCTTGTGAAGCTGAAAAACAAAAAAATTACTAAAAGTTATATAAACACAGTTATTGAATGTTTCATTGGGTGTAGATTAGTCCTGCAAGTTAAACTATTTCAATAAAGGGAAACGTTATTGTAACTTAATTACTGATTATTGTGCTGGGTACAGTTGGGAACTCACCCAAGGTGCATTGCTCAAGGGTCCTTCCATAGCTCTCAATCCCTGTAAAGTGTATCTAAAGCCAAAGCTGTTTTACATTTTTGGATAGAGTAGGGAAGGATTTTTTTTCCAGTTAGGAGATTTCCTTCCCCTTCCTGTCCATTAGACACAACAGGAACAGAGGAACTCTCTACAAAGAGAGGGATATCCACTCTTAGATGGTTGTCACTGGTGTCCTCTTTGGAAGATTTCACCTCTATTCCAGTTCTGGTGACAACTAAAAACAATTAAAAGTTTTCCCTTGAGATTAGGTAACCCCTAATCATAACAGTAATTAAAAATAATCAGTTTTGGTTTTAGACACATTTTAAGGGTTAGGGTTCGGATTAGGTGACATCTGAGGATGGCAAGCTACGTCAACACTACTAGTTGGTATTCAGGGTATTGAAGCCCACCCATTAATGATTGAAATATGTGAGCTGCCATTAGCAGCCTACATTCCAAAATGCTAGGTGCCTGGCTGGGTCTGCATTTTACACTTCTGTCACTGAACATGAGCAAGCCTACAGTAAATTAACAACATGGAGAACTTGGAAATGTTCATCTTGTTTAGCTGTTTGTCTGGAGTTCAGCTTTAAATCTTGTTGTCCTATACCTGCAGCTCTGGGACCATATGTTGGGTCTGTTTAGATGGCTTTTGTACAAATTTGTACTTTGTTGCTGGCATTCATTTGAATGGCATTTTTGAAACATCTGGAATGGATGATACGGAGCACAGTTTGTTGGGTTTTACCCCTGCTTTTGTCATGCAGGATGCTGGGATTTGTTCATGCAGCCAGCCCACCCATATTTGCTCTATCTATTCCTCTAAATTAACATTAGGAATGCAAATAAATGTATAGTAATTGCAATCGGAATTTCAGCATAATGCATTCACTTATTTGCTGGATTAAGGCGTTCAAACCTTGTTTGGAAGATAGTACTGAAATAAAAATGATGGTGTGATTTTCAATGTCAAAAGCTTTATTTATAACTTACCTTTTGACTGTGGTGTGGGATGATTGGGCCATGCAGGTCTTCTTGTTTGCTCGTAGGATAAATCTGCAGACACAATAACTAACTGTGATTTTTTTTCCAAGTGACAGACAGACAAAACAACAAAACTAAGTATTCTATCTACAGACAAAACATTTCATTGCAGTGAAAAATTATTTATTCCGGTAACTGAGTGTGGTTAAGGGACAGCACTGTGGGAGGAGATGCAGCGATTCAAAGATTGCTCCATCACTTCTCTGTCTGGCTTTCAGTAGTAAACAAAGCGGTCACAGGGCTGCTGTTTACTGCTGGTACTATAGGGAGCCTAACAAAGAACCAATGTGTTCTCTGCCATGAGCTCTGAACACCATCTTGGGAGAGCCTGTGTCTAATATTTATTTTGACATTTTGGAGGATATCTTTGATGATGGCAGTATATATACATCTATCTATCTATCTATCTATCTATCTATCTATCTATCTATCTATCTATCTATCTATCTATATATATACTGTATACATATATATATATTTCCATGTGCATCACTGGGGTGTGACTGCAAGGGGGAAGTCACAAGTAGTGACAGACACCCGCTTTGTGAGGGAGTGGTACGGGAAGGTTCCTGGCCAAAAGTGACAGCAAGGACACCCTTGGGAAAAGGCTGGTGCTCCAAGAGAGGACCACAATATTTAGCCCAGCATGCTGGTTAGGCACAAATACAGCACCCTTTCTGGGGAAAACACTTCTGAGGATATCTTGCACACATATACGCTTAAGGGAGCACGCCTCAAGCAACCTCCTGTTAGCCCTGCATTCTTGCACTGTTATTACAAGTGCCTTGTTGTTTGGGGGCAAATTTGTAGAATACTTCAAATTTGCTGTAACTGCTGAATGATTTGTTGAACTGCTGAACTGGTGAATCATCTGTTCCTTTTGGCTAACTACCACCCAGTAAGCACCCACAACAAGCTGAAGGTCAGTTGCATCTATACAGGAACATTGAAAGAAGCATTCCAAACTGATCTCACATGCAAATGGAATGCACCTGCAAGCAAGCTGCATTTGCTTATGTACATAAGCACTAACACTGCCACGTTCCCTATAATAGTCTTTTTCTATTCATATGGCTTGAAACTTTTTTCCAAAGAAAAAACTCTGCTGCTTTTACTGCTTAAAAAGTTATAAGGGTTAGAGTCGGAGAGCTAGGGAGTTTTAGGGTGACAATGCTGCTGTGTCATTTTACTGAAGATCAAAGAACTTTGTCACTGTATTACAGGAAAAATTAAGTAATTTACTGGCAGGACCAACAGGTAATAACATTTTTAGTGACAGACTGCATCATATAAGTCATTTTTTTATTTTACCTATAATTCTACTTTACAGTTACAGTTTACTGTTTATAACCGTCCAGTACGGGCGCACACAGAGGTGTCCATTATGTTATATCCATTATAGCCTGCCTGTTTGTATGAAAATCTGCTGCATGATACACTTCCTTTAAACATGCTCTTACCAACTATATGATGCAAGCAGGGACTCTGGGGGACAGGCCCTAATTACCAGTTGAGGATATTGGGAACCCTATGAAGAATAGATGAGACCCATGTGTGACTTCTAAGTGGGGGCCTAACTACAGATCATGGGGCACCACAGCCTCAATGGGATCCCCTGGCAACCTTTCTCTGTGGCACTTTCTCTGAGCTGTGACTAGGTACACCAAGATCCCAAAGGCTCCTCTTGTGCATCTGATGTCAGCTCTCCTAAACTGTAGACTTAAGGCCCCGTTCACACTGAGTGGAAAATCCCGCGATTTCTGCCGCGTTATCGCGCATTTTTGCTGCGCGATATCGCGAGAAGTCGCTGGCCAATGGTTTTCAATGGAGCTTTCTTAATGTACAGCTCCATGTCGTCCGTCGCAAGTCGAGCCTGCAGGACCCCTTTCCTCACGATGTCGGGCAAAATTTCCTTTTTTTTTTAATGCAGCTCGACGGTGAAGGTCACACGATCGTTGCTGGAACGTCGCCCGAACCGTCGCGCTATCCCACCGCACAGAAATCCGCTCTAGGTGAGTGTCGCTTTGTGTAAATGGGGCCTAACAGGGGATTAGGATTGTCGTCCTGTTCCGCCCCCAGGCCCTATAGCAGCTTCGCTAACACAAACAGTTGACTACTTTCAGCTGGTAATTGTACCGATAGGAAAGTTTGTTCCAATCACTATTGCTCTTGACTTAATTATAGAGTCTGCTCACCCCTTGCATCTCCTTTCCCAGCTTACCGGTGTATGGAACACTCTACATTGCTCCAAAGATCGGTCACCCTGCGGCTGGTCGGATCACATCTATGTGTCCACCTTCCAATGGGTGCACAACCAAGGAACACCATTTTAAAGAAAGGGGTGTGGAAACACCCAGGGACACCCATTTATAGAGTGTGACTCCCAGGTAGGCAGGGTCACTACCAGGAATGATTGCATGAAGATCTTGTCACAGCAGCCCCCAAGAGACATTAGAATCCAGAGAAAGGCTAAGCCAGACAGACACCTATAAGTAAAATAATCTTTTTTGGTGGACCAACCCTTGAATTAAAAATGAAACTTTAATTATAAAAAAAAAATAAACAGTGTTATAATAATTGAGAAAACTAATATCAAGCAAACCAACGGCAAATCGATATTACACCTACCTGGTCTGTTTGTGATTCTCTGAGATGCTTCTGGATATACCGATGTATTTGGGAATATAAAGGTGGCACCTCCTGCAGATAATAAGAATAACCCAGAATGAGTCCTTTACTTTTTATGCAACATTATCATAGTTCAAGTCATTGTATGTCATAATATTAAAAGCTCCTCATACTATAGGCTAGAAAAACATAGACAACTAGCAGCTAATTAAGGTAACTTTGAATCCTGAAAGGAACAAAATCACCAATTATCCCCCTAATATAAGCCTTTCTCACATGCTCTTGTACTGTGTTTAACATGTTTCAGAAATTCCTGTCTTTCTTAAATCAGACTTGCAGCGTTTTTTGTAGTTTTGGATAGAGTGAGGAAGGATTAGAACCCCTAGTTGGGTTTGTACTGCAATTCAGGGCTATGTTAGAGAGATTTCCCACTTCAGGTGACCAGGGTCTCACCATCTGTCTCACCAGGCAGAAAGTTAGGGAAAATCTCCAACAGCAAAACAGACAGAAACAAAAATGCAAAAAAGAGTGCAAAAAGCAGCTGAAGTAGGACAAATGCAGGTCAATGGCGCCTGTCTATGTATTGTGAATGATTTCAGATGCATCTCAAACTGATGTCAAAAGAGTGCTCCATCTGCCGATCAAGGTCCTTCAACGCAGGTCCTGAGGGAGTTAACATTACAGGATAGTGGTGACTGGACACCCATAAGGGTTTATATGTCAGGTATGAACTGATGAAGCCTAGGTGAGTTTTTCTTCAAATAATCTTTAATTAACAGACTCAGGTTACAAATAACAAATGCAATATACGTTCAGAATTATCGCTACAAAAAAAGAGGCAATTACAGAAAATTTGTTTTGTCAATTTTGGTGGCCAGACTTATAAGTCTTCATAATTTTTACTTAAAAGGTTGTGGGGAAAGCGGGTGGTGTTGGGAAGGAATGAAAGGAACGGCAGGTTTGGTTAGATGGGGGTGGGTTGGGTGTTGTATTTAGATAAGATAAGGGACGAGGAACATAGAGAGGGATCTTAGGTGAGTTTTACCAGACAGGAAGTGACGGAGAATCTACAACTGGGACACTGACAGAAATAAAAAACCTGATGGGGTTCTAGCTTTAAAATCTAAATCTAATCTAAAAAGCATTTTTTTTTCTGACTGTGTTGTTTTTGGAGAGTTTCCCTCACTTCCTATCTTGTGGAGTTAGTAGGAAAGGAAGTGAGTGCAAATTTCTCAAACGTAGCCCCAGATAGAAGGAAACACATGGCAGGGGTTCTTACTGACTCTATCCAAAACAAATACAAAGTTTTGGCTGGACATGATAATAATACTAATAATAATAATAATATGGGAAGTAATTTCATGACTATTTTTAATAAACATTATTAAACATTTTTGATAAACATTTAAAAAAAGAATACAAGAATAACACAATATTATTTCCCTAAGGTTTGATAAGTATTCATGCATTATGCTGAAATTTTTCTAAACTAAGATCCATTCTCAATGTGTAATTTAGCAAATCTATCGTTCAATTCAAAAGATTGGCAGAACCATCAGCGATAGGTGCATTACCTGTGTTTCTAGCATGCATTAATCGTGGTGAGTTTTGTAAGGCCTTATCAACATCATCTGAAGTCAAATGAGGAAGAGGAGCTACAAAACAAAACAAAGCAACACCAAATTGAGAAAAGGGACAATCGAGAGGCTGAAAAGGTCAATGGGAGTTTTGTATAAGCATTCTTTACTTTTTAATTTGTATACTTTTTTAAAAGATTGTTTTATTTAAGTATTACATTTGTCCCTTTTTTCTATTTCAATTTAATTTTATTTAAAGTTTTTTTTATTTTTTTTAAATTAGCATAGTTGAATTAAATTCTGAACTATTTAAGATTTAAATGAAGTGGTGCTGTGATAAAAAAAATTGGATAGAACTAAACAGCAATAGAAAATCCAAAATTGTTGTCTATTGTCTATTATTAAAGCGAACCTAGCATGAAAATACAGGGTCCACTTAATGCCTAGCCCCCACCCCCAAACAGAACATGTTAAAAATTAAACATTAAGAGCAAGAAAGAAAGAAAAACAAAATGCCACCCAAACTGCTGGGGTGCTCATCAAGATGAGGATGACATTATTCGGCTTTCTTGTAGTATCCCAAATCTTGCAAAAATGTACTCCTGTACAGTACTAAAGTGACTTTAACAAGATCTAAGATGCTCAACTTTCCCAGAATTCCAGGATAAAACAGAGTAATGATATTATAGCCCTTAGGAGTGTGCCAGAAGTGTCCAAGGTAAGTACTTGTGTGTACTTTGGTGTAATTTCCTAGGTTTTTCATATTTTTTTATGGGGGGGTGCTAGACATTATGCAGACCTTGTATTTTTAATAAATGCAATGCAAATAATCCTATGTTACTTCTATGGCTATCATTTGATCCAGTGTACTGTAAATGGTTACATAGTTTGCTTTATTATTTTTTATATTAATATTAGTAGCGTTATTATAATGTTTCTTAGTAATTTTTATTAGTAATAGCAGTATATACTTAACCTATTGGCATTATGCAATATCTTTAAAATATTATGACATGTATGTAATTAAATTGTATTGCCTTTAAATTGGTTTACTGCACAACTATCATGATAAGTACAATGGAAATATTAGAAAATAATAAATCAGTATTTAAAACCTGAATCGAGCCAAAACATTTTTTTTACAGTGGCGACCAATAAAAGGATTATTTATGTTCTTATTGTTGTGTGTTGATTTTTTTCTCACTTCCTGTTTGATCACTACAGCAGGAAGTAACCTAAATAAAAGTATTTTTTGTCTAGATTGGAGAAGGGTAAGAGCTTTGATTTATTATTTTTATTACTGCATTTGTCCTGCATAGGTGATTGCCCTTAATTTTGGTAACCAGGGGTGAAATCTACCCAACGGGAACTCTTCAATTCAAAATAAATAAATACATAATTGATTGGCATTAGGATTTGATTTCGCTGTAAGTACCTATTTACTGGCTAGATAATTGCAACTTTATTTTTAAAAGCTCATTTAATACATATATATATATATACATATACATACATACACACACACACACAATTATATATAGCAATAGTAATTATATTTTTGGAAAATAAAAAATAAAACCTGAAAACTGATCGGCATACTTTCTCTGAGGTAGTGGAGATGAGAGAGCAAGATCTCTGCGTTGTAGCTGGCCGTGAGTCTGTGGAAATCCTCTTTGGTCATTTTGCATAATTCTTTCCCATCAATATTTTGGAAAAGCATGACATCGACATCTGGCAATCCATATTCTTTAATTGCCCATTCCAACCACTGCCGCACATGATCCGTGCTCCATAATGTTGGATCTGAAAATCATTAAAAGACCAAATATTACTGAAGAAAACATGGAACTTTTCGGTGCCATGGCAGCATTGTCAAAATGTAAAGATTGTTTTTTAATAGGAAGCAACAGCTTTAAAGTAAATTACAGTTTAATATATTCATTTTTTTTAGATTTGAAGATGTGTCTGCCGATGCCCCATAGGCGTTAGATATTTAATTGGACCGCCTTCAGCTTTGATTTCGGCACACATTCTCTATAGTTTCCATAGGCTTATGTAATATCACAACATTTATTTCTGTTCAGAGTTGCATTCATTTGTCACCAAGATCTTGTAGTGATGATGGGAGAGTCAGACCACTGTGTAAAGTCTTCTCCAGCACATCCCAAAGATTCTCAATGGAGGTAAGGTCTGGACTCTCTGGTGGCCAATCCATGTGTGACAATTATGTCTCATGCTCCCTGAACAACTCTTTCATAATATGACCCTGATGAGTCCTGGCATTGTCATTATGGAATATGTCCAATGTGCCATCAGGGAAGAAAAAAATCCATTGATGGATAAACCTGGTCATTTAGTATATTCAGGTAGCAGCTGACCTAATTTTGGGACATAACATTGCTGAGCCAAGACTTGACCAAATGAAGCAACCCCAGATCATAACACCGGGACATTGTCACGCTACAGAAGTGTCACTTTTTGCACAGAAATTTAAGACGGAACATAAGCAGGAAACAGGAAGAGGTATTATGTAATATCGAGACCGCTTTTGACTGGATACAGCCCAATGTAGCAGCTACGAAGTCTATGCCAAAACTATCGCTACGTAGCACAACAATATGTGCACTGTAGCTCAATGTTTCACAAAGTCGCTGAGCTCAAATCAGAGCTGATGTAGCCCAGTGTGAATGGGGTCTTACAGCTGAAGAGAAGGAGAGGGCCCTTACCCCTTTTTGCTTTTATTCCTTTTTTGTTTTTTTTATTTCTGTTACTGTATTTATTTATGCAGTAAACTTGGGATGTAGGTATTTTTTTCTGTTGTATACTTTAGATGTTATTTTTGTTAATATGCTTTGGTTGTTATATTGTTTTTGGTATTTAATAAAAAAAAAATATAAAGGTAACACTTCTACTACGAAAAGTTACTGCAACTGTGTGTACTTTGTGCTGTTCCTGATCTTTCTTCTGCTGCCTTGAAATGATTAACGCAACCTATTTACACAGCCCTAAACTTTAAAGACAGTCTGGACAATTAGCTATTCAGGAAAGTATGCGCTTGGCTTGGTAGGTTATCCCATAATATGCTGACCAAGCACATCGACTCTGTCAAGTACTGAAAGTTAAAAACACCTGGATGTCAGACCGCTAAGCACGAAAAAAAAAAAACTTGCAGAATATTTATAACAAAACGTTCGGTTTTCAGTAACAGAATAACAAATAGTGCTAACGGGCCGCTGAAAAACATTTCACACTGGTATGTTAGAACGCTGGAATCTTCATAAGTTTACTCGATTTCCCTTTGTGGGGCGGCAGGACAATTAACCTTTGTGATAGATTTAATTTATGGGGCCGCTGTTGGCCTTGATTTACTATACAACCATTGCAGCCAATAAGACGTGCCATGAACAACTCTACACTGTTGTATGAATCCAGCTGGATAAGAAGTGGAATGTATTAAAGAGGAACGTCATGACTAGAAAGGGACAGCATGTATATTCATTAATAAGAAACATCTCATCTTCTAAAGTGTATATAAAGCCCAAAATTTTTATTGTTTTGGATTGAGTAGGAAAGGGTTAAAACCAGAGGTGCACCGAAATTAAAATTTCAGGACCGAAACCGAAAATGTTTTATATTTTAACTTTTTCAAAATGTTTTAAATATTTTATTTTATTATCTACAAACACTCAGCGATCACTGATCACTGACTGCTTGTATCCGCTCTCCTTCATGACACACTGTCACAGGAGGCTGAGTGAGCGGTTCGGGGGAGGAGGGCTCAGCCTTCTGTGACAGCGCTGGCTATCTCCACCCACACACCGCTCGGCCGGACTGTGACAGGAGGCTGAGCGGTGCGGGGGGAGAGACGCCGGCCGCTCACTGCGCTCTCCTCCCGCAGCGCTCGGCTGCCTGTGACAGTTTCTTTTCTCCCCGCTGGAACACAGAGCAGTGCCCAGTGGGGAGGAGAGAAAGAACGTATGCACCGCTGTATCGGCCAGAAAATGGCACTTTCGGCATTATGCCAAAAGTGCCATTTTCAGGCCGATATGTTTAGGCGGCCGATATATCGGTGCATCCCTAGTTAAAACCCTTATTAGGTTATCTTATTGCTGCCTGTGTCCTGCTGTGGAGATTTCCCTTTACTTCCTGTCCTGGAGATATAACAGGAAATGAGGGGGAAATGTCATTAAAGTGAAAAGTATTTCAATCTTAAAGAGCTCTTACTCTAATTGCACTAGTGACAGCTCTAAAAGTTTGAATTTTCAAAACTTTCTGTCTCTGTGACAATGGTCACCAGGACACAGAGGAGACAGAAATTAAAACCTGACAAGGGGTCTAAGCCTTTCCCAATTTAAAACAATGCCTTTACATACACTTTAAAGATATTTACAGTATATAGAGCTTCCAAGGCCAATCTTCTGTGTGTGGAAAGACTGTAAAAACAAAACACATTTCATACTCTTTGTTTCTGATTAGAAAGAATCCCTTTGAACTCAGAAGGGGATTTTGTTTCGTTCTGCGATGTTTGCTATTAATAACACATCTTTTGTGATTCATTATCATAGCAAATGCTCAGCCTAACCAAGCCGGCCTTCCATCCTACTGGCCTCTCTGGACTTCTCTCCGTGCTCTGTGCGGCCAGGCTGTGTCTGTCCGGTACACCTCATGTAATAGGGATAGTTTATCATGAATTATGGCAGAATTGTTTTCTGAGCTTACAATTATTTCTCTAGATCAGTGATGGTGAACGTTTTTGAGCCCGAGTGCCCAAACTGCGACGCAAAATCAATTTATTTATCTCAAAGTGTCAACACTTAAAATAAGTTTGGTATTGTGTTTTAGTTTGGGCACTGGGGTTAAAAAACCTTCATCATCACTGCCTTAGGCAAAATAGTGAGACACACATATTCAAATATTTTTTACCTTTTTATCACTTTATTTTTATTTTTCACTTTTTTACATTTTTACTAATTTTATGTTATTTTACGTTATTTTTTTAATAATTTTTTTAATTTTTATAATTTTTTACTTTGTTTCACTTTTAATTATAATTTCTTCTTATTTTAAAATATATAGCAAGCCCTATTTTTGGCGTTTGCAGTGGAACAGAACGCGGGGAGAAGCTTCTTAGCCATCACAGTGCATTCCAGCAGCTACCGCTCTGGAACGCACACGCTTTCGGTGTGAACAAGGCCTTAAACAAACCCTCTAAGGGCTTGTTCACACCATGTTCGGACAATGTCCAGACCAAAACAGTTTGTTGCCGGCCCAAAAAAGCATCCCAATGTATTCCTATGGTATTTCTGGGCCCTGTTCACACCAGCGCAGTCTGTTCCGGTCCAGACAAAAAAAAATACTGCTTGTCTCATTTTCTTTGGTCCGGAAAGCACTGGTACGCATGTAAATGCATAGAAACGCACTGGACTGCACCTGAAAGGCCATTTTAAGCTAAAAAGAATAAGCGCACCGGAACGCGGCAGAACGCACTGCATTTGCAGATCTGCTCCAGACATGGTGTGAACATAGTCTTAATATAAGTACAATTTAATTTTGACAGGGAGGGGAAAGCGTCAACTGTCTGTCAGGCTCTTATTGCTCCATGTAACTACTGGGAGTTCAGGTGAAAGTTGTCTCCAGGACAGGAAGGGTTTCTACCCCCTCCCAACTCTATCCAAGACTACATGGTAAACATTTTGACTGTAGTTCTACTTTCATCATGTTGGCATAACATTACAACCACCATTATTATAGCAGCAGTTTTATTTTTGTGTCAGAAATTTCAAAGCCCTACGATGACAAAAGTCAATTTGCACTAAATACCCATAGTGAAGTGTTCTCACCTGCAGGGACAATTACTCTCCGTTCATTTGTTGTCATATTGGGAGGTGGGATGTGTTTTTCCTCAATGTAGCTGCCATAATTCATTCCAATATTCTCCGATCCGCTGCTCATTTTGCCACCTTTGGAAAGGCTACAGTCATCTGGGGAGTTTCTAAAAAACATATATATATATATTTTTTTTAAGAAACATAGTACATTTGAGAATGGGTGTTTAAGTGTAAAAGTGGATCAAAGGAAAACTTGCAGTTTAGAAAATCTAGACAGAGAGATATATTTCCAATGGGACAACAATTCAGAAACATAAGGAAGTTAGGTTCCCTTTAAATTAACAAGGCATGCATTAAGGAAGTGGTATGAAAGTTGCCATAAACTTACTTAACTTTATTGTTCATTACTCATTCCTCTGGCATGATGTTGAGATGATGCATCAGAGGCAGATGCTCCACAAAAGCAACCTAGGCAGGAGCCTAGGGACTAGTGAATGTTAAAGGGACCCCAGCTGCAACTTTCATGCTCCTTTTCTAACCAGGAAATAGCCAATAGGTCAAAGCTGTTCCTTTACAAGTATATAGAAAATTCTTATTGGGTAGGGAGGAGCCTGCCAGTACAGACAACGCAAATGAGGCAGCTTCTCAGTGCCTATTGCAATCTTTTCAATGTCAGCTACAGGGATGGGGGGCAAAGCTGTTACATCGGCCAGGTCCCCATTCTGCTTCTGGTTGGCACCCACAATGCAAGACAGTTACATGTCACATGACTTAACATGCCAGTTTCAGGTGACCAAGAACTGAAATGCAATAGAATCTGCTTATTGTACCTAGAAGGTTAGTTAATGGTGACTTTCATATCTTTATACAAAGTTATGTTTTTCAAACCAGCTCAAAACTCCTCCCATCCAATCTGCATGCCTGTTGGAACCCCAGTGCATAGCAAAGGTTCCTGCTCCACCTTGTCAGTTCATGATGCTAAAACACCGGCACACGGACACACAGATCTTCTCCAAATATCACTTTATTTTAATGCGGCATACGAACAGCAAATCGTTTACATATTTCAGCCCAAACCTTGGACCTTAGTCAAGGCTATGACTAAGCTATGGCTACCACTATGACTAAAGCCCAGGGTTTGGGCTGAAACGCGTAAGCTATTTGCTGTTCTTATGCCGAATTAAATATCTATGGAGAAGATCCCTGTCCATGTGCTGGTGTTTTGGCATCACTTTCATATCTTCATCCATCTTCAATCCTCTCTTATGTCAACCTTATAGATTAAAGCAGAACAAACCATAGGTCAACTTTAACTGATTCTACCTAAGCTGGTCATACAAGGAGAGTTTTATGAATGTTATGTAAATGTTAGACTGGGGTAAAGAACAAAATTAATGGTTCTGTGTACTCTGCAAAGTACTAGGAAATGAACTGTCATAATAAAATGCAACTAATGCAACAGATAATGAAAATATTAGTATGTTAAAATTTAGAAGATAAGTACCTCTTGGTGCCTCCCCTTTAGGGGACCCCAAGTAGGACCCTATGCAAAGCTCAGTAAAAGTCATGTGACACTTCGCCAGTGGCAGATTTATGGTGACACAGCTACCTCTTTACCTAATTTACATCACTTCTTTGCTGTCTGCATTGCTGCAAAAATTCTGCTTGCTGTCAAGGGAGCAGCGACAGAGCATTATTTCAGTGGCTTAAGCAGCAAAGAAGTGGCACCATAGGGTTAGGGTTAACCCTAACCCTAAGGTGAGAGAACCCTACACAATTATTTTATAAGTGCGACAGAATTACTAGTGTTAAAATGATGAAGATCACCAGCACTCAAAGTATAAACTAAATCCAAGTGTTCTTTTATTAAAAGAAGCATGTCACAAGTGTTATATAGCCATTGTTTGAGAACCACACAGGGTCCCTTCATCAGGGCAAACATAGTGACTCCTTATAGATCAGGGAAAACATAGTGGTCACTATGTTTTCCCTGATGAAGGGACGTTGGCGATATAACACTTGTGACATGCTTCTTTGAATAAAAGAACCCTTTGATTTATCTTATCCTTTGAGTGCTGGTGATCTTCATTGTTATAACCTTGGATACGCAATGTGCCATTCGTGGACATCACTACAAGCACCATCACTGTCTTAAAAAGCGGTCTCCATTGCTGTATGGTGTGCAGGGGATATCTTTGTTTATAGAATTATTAGTGTGACATGGCCCTCAGAGTCTGCAGTGAATCCACTCTAAAAAGAAGTGTCAAGAATGTTTTACATTTAGAAAGCTTAATATACTGCATGTCAGTTGGATGTGAGTCAAGGCAAGCTCATTTATGTAGAGCGCTGAACACTTATGGCTTTTCATGTCTTTAGATCGAGTAACATGATGGCACAGGCAACATTTTCTTTCTTTTAAGTAAAATATTTTTCTTGGTTTCATTTCAAATAAAGTGTTGTGCTGGGTGTTGGGCCTCTTAATGAAGATTACAGTTGTAGACCCCCTACCAAGGCAGCTAAGAGTCCAGAAACTTACAGACAGCCCCTAGGATATGTTGTAGACAACTGTTAAAAACTACCATTTCATCTAAATGTTATGTATTCATTAAAAACAAATTAAAACATTTCAAAAGCCATTATAAAATGTAGTCGAATCACCTGAATTTGTATTTATATTAGATTCCTGTTCATGCAGACCAGTGTCTGCTTTTCAAACCCTACCACCCACTGGAGCAGAAACTGGGGTTTATTAAAACTCTATTATACTTGGCTTAACAATAGTTAGAGTTTAAAGACAAATAATACAGGCATTGCAGTAAGACTTTGAAAGTTTGTGACTTCCCAGACTGGACATTCACTGTGGCCAAGCCCAAGCAAAAACACAGGACATGGAACATAGGGGAGAAGCAGAACACACAAAGTAATATAGTCATCCGGTATGTGGCTGAAGTGTCAGGAAAAACTCGGCAGGATTTTTAACTAACATTACATCCCTGTGTTTTTCAAACCCAGCAAAAGACTGCAACAAAAGATTGTATAAGACCCAACACCAAAACACAAGCAAAGTAACATGGTTAGGAATGCAAGGATCTGTACTTCGGGGAGACAAAACAACCACCCGAAAAAACACATGGCCCAAACTATGAGGAAAGGACAATTAGTTCACCAAACATGTAAAAGGGGCCATATACATCAAACAGGAATAACCATACCTGCACAGGGGTGGGGGCCCTGGACACGACCATCTACATTAAACTGCAATAACCATACCTACACAGGGGTGGGGGACATGGACACTACCATCCACATCAAACTGGAATCATTATACTTACACAGGGGCTGAGGCCTTGGACACTAATATCTACATCAAACTGGAATAATCATACTTACTCAGAGGTGGGGAAGTTGGACACTCATCTACTTCAAACTGGAATAATCATACTTAGACAGGGGCAGAGGCCTTGGACACTACCATCTACATCAGACTGGAATAACCAAATCTACACAGGGGTGGGGGCCTTGGTCACTAACATCTGCAGCAACAACCATACCTACACAGCGATGGGGAACTTAGACACTACCATCTACATCAAACTGGAATAATCATACTTACACAGGGGTGGAGTCCTTGGACACTAACATCTACTTGAAACTGGTATAACCATACCTACATAGGGGTTGGGAACATGGACACTACCATGTACATCAAACTGGAGTAACCATGCCTACACAGGGGTGGGGGCCTTGAACACTACCATCTACATCAAACTGGTGGCTTTAGAATTGTCACTCTGTCACATGCACCCTGGTTGAGATTGTAAGTGACTGTGCTGACATACATTGCACAGATAACTTAAGAGAGTATGGACCAACCCTCAGGGACAGTGCGCTCCATCCCAAAATTGTGATTTCATAATACATTCATGAAGCCAGTCCAAACAAATTATGTTTAACCAACACTGAAGTGAGTGCATGTCAACAGCCTGGGAAAGCTCAACAACACTAAGATTCAATAGAGGATGAAAACAAGGTGAAAACAGTATTTTACGTTTAAAAAAAAATGGGAATTGTTTATGATACACAGTGTTTAGCAAAAAAAAAGTCATCCAGTTCTGGTTTACATCTATTTTAATGTATACTGAAACGCGAGATAAGAATGTAATATATTCCAGCTTCCCAGTCCTTAGATGTGGAAGCTCCAGTAATTTTTTTTTCAGACCTACAAAACACTTCCAACATATGCATGGTAAATGAGCAGAGGAGAAAGTGTTTGTAGTCCAAATCAGCAGATCAGCCTATGCTAGTGATCAGCTGATCGCTCCAGTGTTTGTCCTGCACAGAGGTCTGGTACATATCACTCATATGTACCGATCCTCTGCCGCTCGGCCACACACAGAGGGGGCTCAGCTTCTCCTCTGAATCTCCGCTGCTTTCCTGGGCAGAGGCAGCGGGGGATTCGAGCTGCCTCAGGGGAGCTGCCTCCGAGCTGTGCGGTGAGGAGAGAGAGAGAGCCGCCGGCTGTCAGATCCAGGCCGAGCGGCTCTCTCTCTCTCCTCACCACTCGGCGTGCTGCTGATGATAGCGGCTCCGACCCCCGCCACTGCCTGCAGTGCCTCGTTCACTTCTCGGATCCACGCTGTATACAGATGGGGGAGAGCAGAGGGGATCCAGAGAAGCCCCACGTCAGGAGGACAGGACATCGCGATCTACCAGGGATCGCTTTGCGATCAATGGTAGATCTCGATCGACCTAATGGGCACCCCTGATTTATTATATTGCTGGTTCGGCAATATATTAAATAGAATCTGGGCACCTGCCAGGTTTAAAGATGGCCGCCGCAATTCGCAGCGGCCATCTTTAAAAACTTAACATGACTTTACAGTGACCTGCACCTGGAGTGTGCAGGTCACTGTAACCGGGACCTAGGCTCGCGTGCCACCAGAGGGGCCTCTGCGTGCCCTCTGTGGCACGCGTGCCATAGGTTCGCACTGCTGCCCTAGGCTGACAACACTGCTTCTGCATATATTGATGATAGTGGGTCCTCGCTCTCCACCTCGCCCATTCACAAAGAGTCTTGTATTCTTTTCACAGAATACAAGGAGGGGAATTTATCAAAACTGGAGCAGACAAAAACTGGAGCAGTTGTCCATGATAACCAATCAGCTTCTCTCTTCAGTTTGTTCAGTTAAGATTTGAAAATGAAACAGAAATGCTGATTGGTTGCTATTCACAGCTGCTCCACTTTTTATAAATTCCGCTCAAGGTGTTTTGTGAATGGACAAGGAAAGGGGAGGGGCAGATGAATGTCACCAGTTCCCCTCATCCAATCACAGACCACCATTATCAGGATACAAGATGTTTTATGAATGGATGAGGTGTAGAGTAAGCGACCCACTATCATCATTTATTTTTACATAGCAAATGTCCCAAAAAATGTTTCCCAGGCTTCAGCTTTAAGCCTTATGTTCTGCCCTACTAAGCCTTAACCCCTAGTATAGGGGTAGGCACTGTACTCTGGGAGTCATGCCTTTGTCTGTCAGAGTCTTGCAATGCCTCATGGGACTTGTAGTTTCCCCACAGCTGGAGGGCTAAAGTTTGCCTACTCCTGCCTTAGTATATGCAGTTACATCTACAGTAGAATCAGCTACTACTGCCGTATTACCAGACAAACCACAGAAGTCATACAAGACTAGACACTGCCATAACACATCAAAAACCTTCATCACCGGAAAGTACAGCTTCCTCCTCCTTTGCTGTATGTGGTATTAAAGAGGACAGGTGCTCTTTAACACAAATGTATTGACCAAGTAAAATACAAAAGGAGCTATTAACAGCGGAGGAAAAAAAACCCTGTAAATACCAGAATCATAAAGAATGTAAAGACTGAAAAACGCATTGTGGTTTGTGATTAAAATGATGAATAGTCCAAAGTAAGAAAGACATAACATTATGAAAGGGAGAAGGTTCGCTGTGTAGCGTGATGAATGAGGCCTTGCTCTTAACTCTCCGTCAAAACATACAGTAGAATTTGTCCGGCGTGTGCCGCCTCCTCCCAGCTTTTAGCTTTGACTTATTGCCCGCTTTCACATAGAAAAACACTTTTTTTTTTCTTCAAAACATATCTTAAGAATGTTTTCCCTAATTTAGTCCGAGGTGATTGGCACAGGGGGCAATGTGTCTGCTTTCTTTACCGCCACATCAAGTCAGATGTGGATGCCAAGAACGGGAATGTAACTCAGTTACTCTGCTAAATAAAATGACTAATCCCAGATCAAAGTGTAAAAACATTCAAATTTAGAACACCTTTTCCACTCCGCTGTTTAGGTTTCAGCTGTGCAGCGACTTGACAAAATAAATATATCGGGGGATGGGAAATGCAGGCGGCTAAAACCAGGCACAGCATTTACCACATTCCACATCAGCGCCACAGAATTTGCGTTGCAAAACAGACCGAATAAAAGGGGCAGTCAGATACTTGCTGCCTTCCTCTGCAACCCAGGATGGTTCCTTTATTCTTCGAACAGTTTACATCAAATATTTATGATGCCCTTTCACTAAGGCCAGTTCACACCACATGCATTGCCTGGGGGCTCTGTGGCCGCCAACTTGCAGACAAAGCAATTGGCCTTGTTTCCAGTGGGATCAGTTTATACCATACCATATGGCAGTGGTGGGTGCTGAATAGAAAATATGGCATGAAGTACTTTTTTTAGTGCAGCGTGGTGCAACGTGGTACAACTACAGTGCACCGTGCTGTGCCGACAGAGCTTAATGTAGTGTCACTTGTGACCTTTCAATAAGGTTCTCCCAAAAAAAAGGAAACCGTGTGGCGAGCCGGGATCGGAGAAGAGGGTGCACAGGAAGAGAAAAGTTTCCTGGGTCCCACCCACCCACACTCTACTCCCTTTATTTGTGCCCTTGTGGCAAATGTCTTTAGAAAGGAGGAACAAGGAGAAGTGAGGCTGAGGTGCTGAATTCAGATCTATATTCCTTTTCTTTTTTCTCTTCTCTACATAGGTTGAAATTGATGGACTTGTGTCTTTCTTAACCAACAACTAGGTAACTAGAATATACAGGGTGGGGGTGGGAGAAAGGTTAACCCCTTCGTGACTGACGACGTACAGTGTACGTCGCCAGCATCGGGGCTGTTTAAACAGACTCCCGGTGACTTTTGCCGCCGGGACTCTGTTTAAACTTGTAGAGCCGACTGTCGGCTTTACAACAGAAGCGATCCTGGCGACTTACCTGTCGCCAGATCGCTTCTGCGTTCCGAAGAAGGGGCCGCCCCCCCCCCCCGCCGCCGGACCCCCCCGCCGTGCTTCCCGGGCTCCGTTGCCCCTCCTACGGGCCCGGGACCGGCGATCTTTGTGTCCGCGGGGAGCTGGGGAGGAGGTCGACGAACTTCCGTTCATCGATCCCCTCCCCGTTCTATGGGACCGGGAGCGATGCAGATTGCATCACTTCCGGTCCCTGGGCTGTCAGTTCTGGGCTCCTGCAGCCCAGCTATAAGCTATTGAAGTGCGATCTGCACTTCAATAGCTTATTTCCAGTGTAAAGGTGACACTGAGGGTCTTTTGGACCCCCAGCATCACCTTAAAGAGGACCTGTCACCACCATCTGCTATTACATGGGGGGGCTTGCAAGCCCCCCCATGTGATAGCAGTCAAAGTAAAGTAAAAAAAAAAAAAAAAACAGTTTTTAAAATTAAAATGAAATAAAATAAATCTAATAATAATAAAAAAAAATTTAAAAGTACCCCGCCCCCGCGAGCACGCGCGTCGCCACGTAAACACGCGTCGGGTGCGCCTACGCATGAAAACGACGAACGCGCTACACATGTTGGGTATCGCCGCGCACGCCGGAGTGAGAGCAATAATTCTAGGGCCAGTATTTTGGGGTATCTCTAAATTGATGACCTGTGGGGGCTTTTAAAGCGTCTTCTATGGACTTTTTGGGGTACTGGGGTTTTTCGCCGTTTTACGGATGCACGCAATTTGTAACCTGGGCATGTTGGGTATGGTTTTACTCGTTGTAACCTCATCTTTTATATTTCATTAAAAAATGGGTATTTTGGTGTGTTTTGGAGCATTTAATTAAATTTTTCACTAAATATTGGGGTTTAATAGGGAGTTGCGCTAATATTGCGCAACATAAAAATTTGCAACTACCACCATTTTATTCTCTAGGGTCTTGGCATTCAGAAAATATATAATGTTGGGGGGTTTTAAGTAATTTTCAGGCCTAAAATGTGGAATATAACATGGGTACAAAAAATGAAAAAAAGGCCTCAGTCATGAAGGGGTTAAAGGAAGAAAAAAAATATCCCATAGAGGGACTTAAAGGGCAACCAACTTGATGAATATGGTACATCTGTTTCTTTCGGCTCTCATACAATGTTGATTTCCAAAGTAGGGTCCAAAAAACTACATTGGTTAGATTTACCAGTCATCATAGGTGGCCATATCTGTTGCAGAGTAGGTTGTACTGGGAGGCTTGATTTACCTAAGACTGGCCACCAGCAGGGCCGAATTTCCCACAAGGCCAGCAGCAGGGAGTAGAGGGACAGCAGGGTTGTGGAATTCCTATTTCCCGATGCCCAGGACATGCAGTTCCAGGCGCTGGGCGGGCAATGTTTTCTACATTTAGCCCTGCTTTGGGCAAGCAGAGCTAAATGTACAGCGGGGAAGCCGCCGCTTTTTTTGTACAAGTGATCCCGGGGATGTCGCTGAGACCACTTGTATGCAGCCTGCAGGTCTGCCATTCTCCATGGGGGTGGGGGGGATGGTTGGCGATTAGGGGGTGCATTGAGGAACCTGGCCTTGGGGCAGCAAAGAGAGTAAATCCGGCCCTGGCCACCAGTATTCTCACACAATGGACAAACAACCAGCTTCATAGTACTAAGTATTACATATGTAAAAACTGTCAATTTTTCCTTACCGGGATCCGTTCACTTGAGTGGGGTTACATTCCATCTTGATGGTGACTCTGGATGGGGGCTGGGACATCCAGTCTTGCTGAGGGACCCGTGGACTCATTTTCGAAGTTTGCCCATATTCACTGGAGGATGAAGCCGTCATCTCAGACTTGGCAAGGTGTGGCGTTCCGTAGGCGCACTCAAATAATGACTGATCTTCGCTCACCACTGATAATGCTTCCTGTACACGGAACAGAGGACATTGAAGAGATTATTATGATTTATAAGAAACCAGAAGCCATATAGGTAAAGGAAAAAGAAAACGATTTTTCTGAAATGCAGATAAGATAATGTCCAATTTAATAATGTCCACAAAGATAATGAATTTTTATCAGATACCAGACAATGGCCAACAATAACCAGAATACAATAATGGAACACGGTGAAAAAAATGTTGGCCCTAAAATACATAGACTGAGTGATGGATGCTTCTCAGAATCTGGGGCTAAATGGCCAGACGTAGACATAAAAACAGGATTCAGATTCCTCAGTATGGATTGCTTACATAGCGATATAATAAAGACTGAAAAAAGATCAAGTTTAAAGCCAAACACCAGCCAATGTTTTTTGTGGGGGATAAAGCGGGGAAGGGACATATTTATAACGCAGAGAATTTGACCTTCAGTCAACATTCTCAGCAGGTGAATCTTCCAACTCCACCTGTTTTAAATGGCAGTAATAGATTTTCCACCAGAATGTCACATTCACTGCTTTTATACCTTATATAAAACCAAAAGCTTTTTATTTATTTTTAAATTATCAATCTTATTTATTTTTATTTTTTGTTTAATTAAATTTATTCATTTTCAACACACAACCTTCCATTTTTACGGAAGTTGCCAACTCCAACAAAAAAAAAAAAAGGGAAAAAGGGGGGAAATGGGAAGAGGCAAAGGGGTACAAAGGAGGGGGGGATGTATGTGATTATGTTATGAAGTGAGGACTTCCCCTTTCTTGATTCTACATTAGTGTTCCACTTATCTTTATTTATATTCCCTTTACGTTCTATAGCAATAATTATTTTGATATATGAAATGAAATATATTGGGTGTATGGGACATATGAAAGGGTAGATATTTTACATTTTCATCTTCCTTATTTTTAATTTTGTATAGAATGCAGTAGAATTAAGGTGGCCAAACACCTTGCGATTATCGTACGATAATCACGGGAAATCTCGCGATCGTACGATAATCGCAAGGTGTATGGAAGGCGTGCAACCGTTTCTACTGTACGGTCGCACATCTTTTGTCTAGTGAGCATATTTGAAAACCTGCCGAGAATCGTACGATTGTCGGCGGGTTTGTGGCATGCTTGGAGACAAATGCCGAACGGGCCGGTGTGCGCATGCGCACACTGCCCGTTCAGCATTGCAGTCATCGGAAGCCCATCCATCATTAGCTTGCAACCATCGCAAGACAAAATGTTTGCGATGGTTGTAAAGTGTATGGGCACCTTAAGACTCCCTTTTAGGTTTTTATCGTGATTTGGAGACTCTCTATTAGGGATGAGGTTCAGGGCCAAAGTAGAATTCTGTCTGAAATTTGCCTTCTCAGCACTTGGCGACCTAAATGGGGTGTTCGCTGTCCACCGTGCTGAACCTCAGCTCAGTGGAAGTCACATTATCAGTGGTTTTACTACTGCTGTGATATATGACAGCTTCCCTCTGCGGTTGACTTGCAAGGAAGCAAGCAGCCACCGATGTCCTAGCAAACAGTAACACATCGCTAACCTGGCCGGGAGATTCCCCATCCGACAGATGAATGTAAACAAAGGGGCGGAGAAGCTGGCTGACATCACTGACTAAAAACGGCCATACTTGGTAATGACAATGACCATATATGGCAATATTTGGTCAATTACATCAGCCGGTTTCCCCACTTTTTAAAAAATTTTGGTGTGGGGTCCCTCTTTAATATCAATCCCTAATTAAGGATAATGGTCTGGTATTGATTTTATGTCTGCCATGTGAACCGTCCCTAAGTAATTTGTTTTCCTTTTTTTTCCCCAATTGCTGGTCTCTGAAACCTTCCGAAAGCTCCTATGTTCTTTTACAATGCGGTGCCCAAAAGTGGAGCCTAAATTCTGCATGTGGCCTTATACATAATTTCAACCTTCTTGTATATTTCCTTATTCCCTTATGCTCCTCAGCGCCATCTAGTAGCCATAATGTGGTATTATAAGCCAACATTCACAAATACATTCAACTTATAAAGAAAATATTACAAGGATGAACATTCACAGAGATTTGCAAGGCCAATGGTTCTGCAAATTGTTGATAAATAGACCTCTATATTAGCACATTTTTTACATCCTACATCCTACATCTCTCATAGTAGGCTGCACTGTGTATGCAGCCATAAATTATTATGACCATAAACAGAAGGTCAACATAATACAAACAACATTTTTAACATGTAGACCCCAACCAAATTATCAAAATTGTATTACAACACTTGTTTTCACCCTTTTTGAATCCTTTTTTTCATTCTATGTTACAACTCGGTGCTGCTGATCTCACACAGCCTCTCTGCAGCCACTTCCTGTCTACATGCACCTCAGGTTTCTTTATTCTCTTTACCTCCTGCCACTCTTTAATTCCTGCCACTCTGACTTACTAAAAATGGGGGAAAGACGTCACCAAGACAGAAAGTTATGGAAAGCTGTAGAAAAATGTCAGAAGTTCTAGCCCTTGCTCGCTCTATTAAAAATGTGTTTTTGCCTGTTTTCACATTGTTTTTAAATGTTTTATCAATTTTTTTATCTTTTACTTTTATATCACTTTTTATTTTTTTTACTCTAGTTTTTTGAATTTTAATTATTTCTTATTATTTTTTACTTTTTTTTTTAAATTAGGGCCAGCAGGGAGAAAGGTAGCTGGAGGTGGGGGGATGGACCTGCAGGCATATTACAAGTGATCTTGATGGCATCGCTGATGTGGCTTCCCCGCTCTACATTTAGCCCTGCTTGCCTGAAGCAGGGCTAAATATAGACAAAAACCACCCGCCTGGCAGCTATGCTGCCCCTCTACTTCCCGCTGCCCCAAGGCCAGGCCTTGTAGGAAATCTGGCCTTGGCTATAGTTCTGCCAGTGACTTGGAAGCGGAGAACCCTTAAAGCTGAACTCCAAAAAAATAAATTCATTTGAATATATTCCTCAATAGCCACAAAGGATATAAATCCACTTTGTGTGAACCAAATGCCTTTACAAACCCAGTTTTGGCTTGTAAAAGTAGCAGTGACATCATCACTGTGCTGTACATAGTCTGTGCAGACAGCAGAGTTTTGGGAGACACCCACTACAGCCTGCCTGCAGAAAACTACAGCAAGGGGCGGACACAAGACCAGTCACCCTGTACACGGAGAGAGAGCATCAGTGACCGATCTTTATTACAGGAAGGGGCAGACACAAGACCAGTCACCCTGTACAAGGAGAGAGAGAGCAGCAGTGACCAGTCTTTATTACAGGAAGGGGCGAAGACAAGACCAGTCACCTTGTACAAGGAGAGAGAGCACCAGTGACCGATCTTTATTACAGGAAGGGGCGGAGACAAGACCAGGCACCCTATACAAGGAGAGAGAGAGCAGCAGTGACCGATCTTTATTACAGGAAGGGGCGGAGACAAGACCAGTCACCCTGTACAAGGAGAGAGCGCACCAGTGACCGATCGTTATTACAGGAAGGGGCGGATACAAGACCAGTCACCCGGTACAAGGAGAGAGAGCAGCAGTGACCGATCTTTATTACAGGAAGGGGCGGAGACAAGACCAGTCACCCTGTACAAGGAGATAGAGCAGCAGTGACCGGTCTTTTTTACAGGAAGCTCCAAGTGTCACACTGGATTACTGCTCAGATCTGGAAGAAATACACAAACGCTCACCAAGATTTAAGGAAGAATACACAGGACTCTTAAATTATCTTAAATTTAGATAATATTTGCTTATGCCGGAGTTCCATTCTTAAGCCTGAACATACAAACAAATTTCCCAAATGTTAAAATGAGAAAACTTATTAATATGAATGAGCTCTAAAGGTTCCTCAGTCAGGTTTTCTTTTTGTCATTTTGTTGCAGCGCTGCCACCCAGTTTATTGGTCTCTCCCACAAAGTACTTCCTTAGTGTAACTTCACGATTCCCAACACACCTTAATATTCCCATTTCCATAGACAATAGCATCTTAAAAATAGGAAATTGTCTGTGAATTTCAGGTCGTTTCATTCCCAAGACTTTGTATTCTTAACCTTTGACTGAGGTTCTCCACAACACATTTTCTTGTGGAAGTGACTGGTTGAGGTTACCCATCCTGTCTACATAATAATAGCGTTATACAAGATTCTCAGGGTCATCGCTGAAAGGTACAGAAAGATGTAACGTCGCCAACTTATTCATTCTCAAGTGGCACTGAAGTAGAAGTTCAGATTATTCATAGAGATTAAAACTGAATTCCAGGCGAGCAGCTCAATACAGCTTTAAAATTGACTTCTTTACAAAGAATGTACAATTCTATTCAGACAGTCTTCTGATTCACACTGCGTAGCCAGGAAGGTGTCACCCTTACCCAGCTCACTTCTACAGCAGCTTCCTGTGTCACCTACCTACTAATGAGGCAATTAATATTGTGATGATGTTGACTATATACCTAAGGCCCAAAGTGGAGTATAT